AAAGAGTGGTGTAAGCGAATGCCGGTTTCAGGATACAGTTTTCAGAACACAGAGCTAAAGGCACTTCAGAACGCCCCGAAAGAGAAGAAGTATCACAAACAGCTAGATATGAAACAAGGGCAGACGAGCATGTCGCATCTGACAAAGAATGAAGCAGATTGAGTAATTTCTTCGATCAATAACGTTCTGATTAGATGCACGCAAAGGGGCGATTTATCACTGGGTGCACCTGATAAAGCGATCAAAGGCATACGAAATTCGCGAAATTCCAGTGATGAATCAACATTGGCATGGGGTGCGCCGACCACCGATCTGTAAAGAACACCATCGGTATGTGTGTCTCATGGGAATAGTCAATATTTCTAACAGGATTCATACTTCCAGCCAAGTAAAAATCGCGATTGCTTTTCTTAAAAGTTGGAACAGCTTGTAAGTCATCATAACATAACCGGGATATGATTCTTAATGTGAACGCGTGTGCGCGAACCTGAACGGATTTGTATGTGCCTGTGTGTGTGAGAGAGAGAGAGACGACAAATGTATATTTCACAGTTATTAGTCCTCAATGGCTAAGGAATAACACAGATTTCTGGGCTAAAAAATAATTAAAAGTAGTGAAATAGATTCTCATGGTTTAGCGGGCCGAAAATAAGCCACAATTTATAGGATAACAGAAGGGCTGTTCATCATACAACTCTTAGAAGGAATTCTGTAGTTCTGCAAAGCATAGTGTCACCGATATTGACTTAAGCTAAGTGCTGATAAATCATCCAAGTTCTTCGCGGTTATTCGAAAAAAATCAGTTCCTTTATACAAAAAAAAATTTATAGCGCTTTGTGTATGCTCATCAGTTCATGTTGCTAGACGATATATCACTAACTGGCTTGAGTCACTGGTGGGTAAACTGCGCTACTGGAACCGATTTGTACTGATCATGTTTTCTCGGGATAAATATTTTCTTCAAACTTGTAAAATGTGGTTCATTGTAGACTGTCACAATTAGGTAATAAATACCTGAGGATTGTGCGTTTTCATCACTGATATAGTCATTACTGTAAATAAATCCACTTCGGTAACCCCGATTATCGGCAAAAACCGTTTCGTATTTGAATATCAGGATTTTGTCCGGAATCAGATTTATTATCAAAAAACATGATTTCATCGCTAAGAATTTTACGGATGGGGAAGAGATTTCGAGAATCTTCTCCTCAACACATTCGAGTGGTAGAAGGCAGAGTTTTACATGAAATAAACAGTACTGTGATATAACTTTCTCAATTCTCTTTAAAATGGTCTTACCTAAGCTACAGATACAAGAGTATAAAGCCCCAATTTGACGGATTGTCCGGTACCATTCATTGAAAAAAAAACGTTTGAAAACTAAACAAACATTTGTGCAAATCATTATAAAGCAGAAAACAATATGTCCATAATCTGACTGCATTTAACAAATAAATAATTTGAAGCAATCCATTTTTATTGTATTGTAGAAAAATATTCTTCAACTTGGATAACTATATGTTTTCAAAAACCGATTTTACGTCTCCAAATGTTCACTGAGTGTAGCTCTTCTTGGGGACAATTTGCAACAGTTGTGATATTTCCCCAATCAAATTCCACAATATTTCTTTTCTCTCTTCTGTCCCTCTCAAACTATGCATTGTGCAAACGAATTGCAGTTACCGACAATCAGGAATCAATGTCAAACTGGACGATTTCATTCTGACCGTGTCGGACGGAATACAAATGTCTCAGGCTCTTCGAGTGCCGCTACTCATCAGACCGCGTGTTTTACACGAACGAAAATGGAATCAACTCGTCAATCACTCGGTTCTGGTTCCGGAGAACGGGACTGAGACACTCTACCCGACCATATTTCCATCGCTTGAAACCGAGGAAGGGATTGACCCAGCCGCGCTGAGTTCCGGCGCGCCCCAGTACTTTTTGATTGTGTTCCCCACCAAAGGTCAACTGATTCTGGGCGGCAAAGGACCGGCAGTTTCACAATTCAGCTACGAAGATATTCATAAAGGTCGACTGGCTTATCGCCATGGTCCGGCGGAAATCGGTCTGAAACCAATGTTTGATTTCGCTCGGATTTGGGATTTCAGTGCTGGAAAAACGTTTAGTTTGAATTTCTCGCTGATACCGGTCAACAGTCAACCACCTCTGATAAAAGCAGAAGCGCCATTGCAGGTAGATGATGATGATGATGATGATGATAATGATGATGATGATGATGATGATGATGATGATGATGATGATTTCACACGCAGGTGTGCCGTAATTGACTCACTCTCTCTCTCGCTCATTCACTTAGCAAGCAAACGTCAACCAGAAACACATGTAAACATGTCACTTCGAATTCTCACCCATTTTGAAATTGCTGAATGTAAGCTGATGATGCCATCTGAGACAGAGAGAGTGCGAGAGAGAGAGTTGCCTCGACTTGGAAGCGTCTTGCTTGAAAACTTTCCCTCTAACAAAGATCACTTCAACTGCAAAATACGCAAATGGTCCAAATAAAAGATTAGATAATAATGGACAAGCATAACAAATGTAAAAAAGATGTTCTGGCTCGGTTCAGCCTAATATAAAATTATTTTCGGTAATGATAGTCATATCGATGTAAATTCGTTAAATTGCACAGGTCGCAGACCGGGAGTCAATATTGAAGGACGCATTGCCCAAACGTCAAGAAACAAATTTTGAACAGGCAGAAAAATTCATTTTTATGTTGATCTGTCTTCAAAGGCACCGTGGCAACAGCCTAAATATTCTAGACGCGCCATTTCAGTTACATATCATTAACGTTCAGTCAGGGTAAATGAAGGTCAGCTAAGTAGGCAATTGTTTTTGGTTTTAATAATAAACTGCACTAACATGATTATGAAGTATAAATAATCATCAAATGAATCCCATAGTGTATAAAAAATGAGAAACAGCCTGATTAATAACTCACCATTAGCGAAATAGCTCACTCTTTGTTCCTCCTTAGGAACAAAGTGAAACGGATCAAACTGACCTAGGTGAGGAAACTGGTCTGACAAGTCTCTCAGTTAGACATACATTCCTTGAAATCTACTGGATAAATAATTCGTAGAAAGTCAGAACTTATGAAGGTTGATTTACAACACAGAATGCAAATTCCTAGTCGTATTAATTCGTAGATATTGTGGGTGTTTGAAGAATACCACCAGTTCCGGACACTGTTTGTCCGGAAAAGTATCAGAGTTGTCGTATAACCTTTATTATCTAAATGATAATGATTGAAATTGAGGATCACTTGGATTCTGGCAAAGTGCCCCAGCAAAGTGTTCGGCAGTGAAGGTTGATTCTCCCAACCAACCATTGAGATTGCTTCTACATCAAACCTGGGTGATTCATCGCTCATTCAGATGGACCTTTCCTCTAACCTATTAGTTTCAAACCATCCTACCAGTCAAGCCAGTCAAGCAATTAGCTCCGTCGTATTGAGACATGAGTGAGAAAAGGAGTATCCGAGAGTAAATCTCTCTCCGTGTGATGGCATGCAAAGTGAGAATAATATGCAGTGTTGACCTGAAACCAATCGATGGATCCAGTTCGAGCAGTCTAGTGACACTAAACACACTTTTTCTCAACAAGTCTTAGCCAAAGCCCGTAATTCTTTTGTAACAATCAGCATTTCTTTGTCCTCGAATCAGAAACTTTGAGCATATTGCTGTAAGCAAATCAAATCAAAAGGTATCGGAATATTCTGAGGCGAAAAAATGTCGAAAAATATAACTTTTTGCTCAAGATCATGATGCAAAGCTTGCTGAACAGATGAGCATTTGTGACAGTCATACGCTGCGCAGTTTTCCATTGAAATGATGTGCAAGTCTTCGCCAAATATGAGGTTTTCATGACTGATATGCCTGGAAAATCCTTTGACATCTCTCTTAACTACCTCAATGTGTTTCCTGTGTTCTCGTTGAAAAATCACACAAAGTTTCTTCTAATTCGTCATTGAACTTCGCATTATAAGTCAGGTTCAACAGCAGTTTCACGATCTGAGGCTGCAATCCATGGAACGTTTTATTCTCACTGATAAGGACTTTTGTAATTTCTTTCAAAGCCTCACCTCTGTGTGTACATACATTCACTATCCGTCGATCTTCCGTGCATCCATTCTTATTTTATTCTTATTTTACATGCGTACAATGATAGGTGAAGCTCGATAAATACTAGTGACGATAGTCGTGGTATTTTAAAGCCTCATTACCTACAAAACGAATATCGCACTGCGGTAATACAAAAGAAAATTAAAATTGGTTACTCCTGTTAATAAAAGCCTAAGTATAACAGAAAAGGTATATTGGTGTACTTTTACACAATCTGGAATAAATTAGAAGTGAATACTTACCGTCCAATGACTTGTTATGAGGAGTGGAAAAATTGACAGTTCAGGGACAGTGAACACAGTTCACAAAAATATACTTCCCAGACTGTCGTCAATTTGATCGCGTTGCAACACAATTACGATAATCAGCTGCGCAGTACGCGATCGCCACAAAGTTTCGTTTGTTCATCAAGCTTTGTATGCATCAACACTTGCAAGAAAACACACCTTTCAACTTTCGTTCACATCAGACTATTCCGATACTTTTTTATCTGACTCATCCATAGCGGTATGGTTAAGGTTTTGCGTTCAGGCTGAAGGACTACGGGTCGTGGCTAAATAATTACATGTTTTGGCTAAGGCATGAATGGATAAGGTGTCGAAATTGCTCCACGGATTCACAATGATGATGATGATGATTCGGATGATGATGATTCGGATGATGATGATGATGATTCGGATGATGATGATGATGATGATGATGATGATGATGATGATGACGATGATGATGATGA